ATCACCTTTATTTGGCCAAATATTTTAAACACACAAGGAATTTTATGGTAGCAGAGGGCTCTGGGGTCAACAGTGTTAGTTGTGTAGTTGGTCAGTTCACCACTGGTCCAGACTGAAATATAACCGCTATTTTATGGTTTAGTATGACATGTGGTAAAAACATCCATGGTCTCCAGCAGATGAATCTGAATGTCTTGGCTAATCATTAATCATCTGCAAACTCATCTGACTTTAGATTTCAGCTAAGTGCACTAAGTACACCTTCACAATGCTGCTAGTGTGACTGTAAACCTGTCTTGTTTTAGCATAAGCACATCTCAATTAACTAATAACATCACTGAAAAGAGAGAGGAAGACGACACTCAGGTCACACTCCAGTGTTGGTTTGATGATGAGTTTTGATCCAAAGAAAGTCATTAAATGTGTAAAAACACAATGTATTCTTCTCTTGATGGAAGCTCAAATACGTTTGGCTACAGATGAACCTCCAGGAAACAGCCCAGCCCATGTTCATACAGTGGGGATCAACTGAGGATGTGACTTACAGCTACAAACATACTTTATTCCCATATACAGTTGTGTTGATCTTACCTACTGAGAGCTGAATCTGGGTGTAGTTTCCAACACTCCACTGAGAGTCTGAACCACACCAGTATGTCCCAGCATCCCCTGCTTCCAGCTCTGTGATCATCACCGAGAAAGAGCTGGAAGCAGCATCATCTTGCAGAGTGAACCGGAGGTCAGTCTGGCCTGAGTTGTTGTGACTCGTTACCATGTGTGTGCAGTTGCTGCGGTGGTCTCCCTTACAGAGGAACTTCCTGTTTGTCCCATGATGCCGTGGATAGGGACACTTCAGAGTTACTGGACGTCCCACAATGCCCTTCAGATTGTTTGACTTCACACAGCACCACTCTGTCAAACAGGAGCAGCTCTGAACAACATTATTACTGTAAAGCATCTAGTAACAATGCAGTCTTTTCTCAAACATATAAACTATACAGTACATTTGCAAGCTCTTATGGTTCATTTTTAATATGTTTTCATTTTCTTTTTCTTTATCAAGGGTTGATTTATGGTGGCAGCAGGTTCAGTAAGGGAGTCCAGATGTCCCACTCCCCCGTGCAGTGTTCAAGCTCCTTTGTAGGCCTCCTTCATCATCCTGATGACTTCCTTCACCACTGCTGTGCACTGGCGGGTTCTCAGGTTGCCGCCGCGACAGTCACCAACGACCTTCTGGCCACAACACTGAATAGCTGCTTCAACAGCTGATGATTTGAACACAGCCCAATTGGATTCCATGCCCCCAGCCTCCCCCGGGATGTGAGAGAATTTATTCCAGAGGTGTGAGTTAAAGACCTCTCAGAAAGGGGCTTCAGCCTGGCATTCCCAGCACACACTCACTACACATTTGGTTTGCCATGTCTGTCCAGCAGCTTCCCCGCCATCTGATGTAACTCACCACCACGTGGTGATCAGTTGACAGCTCTGCTCATCTCTTTTCTTGATGATACGACAACATTATCCATCTAAGGCGTTCTGGTATCATGTACACTTATGAATAATCCTATGCTCGAACATGGTGTTTGTTATGGCCAATCAATGACTACGACAAAGGTCCAGAAACAAAGTAGCATTTGGGTTCAGATCAAGCAGGCCCTTCCTCCCAGTCACCCCCTTTCAGGTTTTTCCTGGAAAAACTATCATTGCCCACATTAGCACTGAATTCCCTCAGTAGAACTGTGGAGTCCCCAGGTGATGCCCCTTCAAGGACCCCCACTCAGGGTTTCCAAGATGGCTATGTACTCTAAGACACTGTTCAGTACATAAGCACAAACAATAGTCAGGGCTTTCCTCTTAGTGACTTTAAGTTGCATAGAGACAATGCTGTTGTTCCACAGGGGAGAACTCCAACACAGTGCTCAGCCTGGGATTTGTGAGTATCCCCACACCTGCCTGGCACCTCTCACCCTGGGCAACTCTGGAAAATGATAGAGTCCAACCCTTCTCCAGGAGTTTCAGTTCCAGTGCCAGAAGCATGCCTGGAGGTAAGCCCAACTATATCTATTTCGTATCACTCCACTTCCTCTACAAGTTTCAGCTCCTTCCCCACCAGAAAGGTGACATTCCATGTTCCCAGAGCTAGCCGATGCAGCCAGGAATCAACACACCAGGTACCCGACATAGCCTGCCGCCTGACTTGTACTGCACCCAACCCCAATTCCTTTCCCTGCAGGTGGTGGGTCCACAGGGTGGTGGCACCAAGTTATTCCTTTGGGCTGTGCCTGACTGGGCACCATGGGCCAAGGCCCAGCCACCGCAGTCTTTTTGGCGAGCTCCCCTCTCAGGTCTGGCTCCATCTGGGTGCCCTGGTTTCACTAATCCAGGTAGCGTGACTCCAAGTCATCTGGATTTTTTTAATCGCTCTTGGTCTGGCCCCTCAACTTGGACCAATTCGCCTTGGGAGACCTTATCAGGAGCTAATGCCCCAGACAACACAGCTCCCAGGATCATTGGGACACACAACCCTCTCCACTGTAGTGGCTAAAAATAAACAAGGTTCCAGAGGTAACAGTATGTACTTCATATATAGATCTTATTTGTAATAGTTATGTAAGGCTGAGCTAAGTGTGTATGGAAGCTTGATCTGTTTCTGGCGCAGGCAAGAATATCTTGGGCTGTGTCCCCCTTGTTTAACCTATGGGTCAACATCCCGAGTGACTTCCTCCTCAGATAGGGAATGGATATACTGTAGCTGCAGCCTTATGTGAACTGTTCGTGTGCTCTGTTCAGGTTTAGAAAAAGGAAACGTGCGCTAGGTCAATGCGACCTAGAAGTTCATGTACTGGATAGCTTAGACAATGCTCGAAAGAAGGTGTGTGGGTAGCTGGCATGGGACCGCGTCTTTATAGCTCAGGCCATGGAGGACTGTGTAAGTGCGAGCAGATAAAAAGCTGGGTTAGAGAAGAAGAAGAAGACAGGATGACAATGCTACTGTGACAGGGAGAGTATACTTTGTGGGGAACCCAGCCGGCTGGGGGGACGCTGAATTAAGACTGACTGGCGCTCTGACAATCTTCTTCTTTAATACATCCATTCCATCTGTTCTCTGTTTTCTAAACTACAAGATTATCTGTTTAAATAATGGAACATTGTTACTAGTGTTTAAATACTAGTCTATTCAGAATAATTGTAATATTAAATGATCCTTTAATTTGGGATGGTTTGTCTGAATTAATTTAGTCAGCATCACACTCTAGCCACGACACTGGTGGTGATTTGAGGAGAGCACCATTATGGAAATGTCCTCTCCTTCTGTGAAAAATTAATGATTCTCACCTTTGACTTCCAGCTCAACAGCAGAGAAAACATCCAGTCCAGTGTTTCTATGGACTCCACAGAGGTACAACCCAGAATCCCTTTGGGCCAAGCCTGTAATGGTCACTGTAAATGTTCTTCTCTCCTTGTCATCAGTAAGACTGTATTGTCTGCTTTGTTTGTTGTTACTGGTGACTACTGCCTGCTGCAGACAGGTGGAGGGCCGCTTTCCTCTGCACATGTACTTCTGGTTGTTCTGGTATTCAGGATCATATGGACAACTGATGGACACTGAACCTCCCTCATAACTTTGGATTTTGTTCACACTGTCACAGCATGTGTCTGTCAGAGAGTGTTAGAAGAGAAGACAAAAGTATTTGATTAGCTATATGAACATATAAAATCCAAAATTTTAACGTATTACTTAAAGTTCATGAAAGCAGTGAAAACATCAAGCGCATGTTTTCATTAAATGCAAGAAGAACCACCCCTCCTTATTGCTGCTTTACTAATGGAACATTGTTACTAGTGTACAAGCAGCATTTAAATGTTAATGGACAATTTTTTTTCATAGTTTGAAACATGTTTCTTTATACCATCAAATGTATTAATAATAATAATGGCAATAATATTAAAATGTATTTCTATAGCACAATTCATACAATGTGTGGTATACAGCAAAATAAAAACAATGATTTACAAAACTAAAATAGACTAGAACAATATAAAATAATAAATACATTTCAACTGACAATTTCAAATAGACATGACATTTTCAAATCAATATGAATGTGTATAAGGGACAATTAAAAACAGGCAAGCTTATAAAGGAAGGTTTTAATGTCATGTTTAAAGCACTCCACAGCATCTGAGGCCTTCTCCTCATCTGGAAATTGAGGCGCTGAACATTCGTACAGAATGCTGAGTCACCAAATGTCTTGGTCTGTTTTGAGGAATAACCAAAAGACCAGAGTTGGATGATCTTAGAGGCCTAGTTTTCAGGTCCACTCGGCGCGCCCTGCCTCTCTTCCGCCTTCTCTCCTCTGTTCTCTCGACCTGCGGGATCTCGCACCTCAGCTGTGTTGCATTCGGTAATTAGCGACTCGTTTGTCGGTGCACACAGCTGGGGTGCATCCCGCTGATCACGCTCCTACCTCATATATACCTCTGGCGGTTGACAAATGTTATGTTAAAACCGTGTTAATATACGTGTGCGAGAATGCTACGCTGACAGTAACTGTGCGTTTTGGCTTGCCTTTATCACGTTATTTATGTGTTTCGCAAAACGTACCGATACCAACGCTGACAGTCCCTGTGCTGTTGATTTT